ACCAGGAGTAAGATGAAAGTTGTACATCTGGACAGGTTGGCGAAATATCATGGACGTGAAGTTGATCGGGACGATCAACCTTAAGAGGAGGGCAGTGTCACAATAAGCTAAACGTCCGCCAGGCTGTCAAGAATCGATCGCGGAAATAGTAGAATCTAGCGAATTATTCTACTTTAATCTGGAAAATTAGATTATCGTGTGTATTCTAGATTTCACAGGAATAGATTTAGGGATATATAAGAAGGCCGGCATTGGTTTGTAAGTAAGTTTTCAGTTCGAGTGTGATACGATTTAAATAGTGATTGTAAAGAGTTTAATTGTTGAGTTTGTTAATAAAGTAATTAGTGTCAGAGTGTTTTGTTAAGTGGAATAAATTATTGCTGTGTTAATTGGACTTTGATTTTTGGAATAAGCGAAACGAACAACGAACCCAAGATTTTTGTCAGCAGGCAACCCAAAGCCGCGACAGTATTATCCTTGGTTATTACCAACCAAACTTTTTTTGACGGTATCCCTATCCAGGGTTGGGAATGTAGCGACTTTTTTATATTATTTACATTAACTACATAAACTACATTTACTACCTAAATAATTCTAAATGTAGCCAATTCAAGGTATTTAATGTCGTTGATGTATCTACTATCTAATGATCTAATTGGTTGATTTCCTCTGTCATGTTGATTTTCTAGCCTTACAAAAGTCACTGGACTGATTGCTGGACTGTAACGGTACTTTGTTCCTTTCAAAATGAGGAGATTAAAAACGTGTTAAATAAAAACGTTTGTAATAAGATTATTCTTGTTTTATTTCCTTTATCAATGAAGATTATAGCCCTGTCGCACGGACTCATGCCATGCATGGCTCATCCCATAACTAAACTAAAACTACCATCATATTCAAATTTTTCCAATAACAATATTTTTATGAAAAATAGCTTTGGAAAATGTTCGAAAATATAAAAAAAATGTTGTTAAAGGTTATGTAGTTAATGTATTAGGGCAATCCAACCACCTGTCAAAATGAAATTCAAAATGGAGGCCAATGCCTTTTTATTTAAAAAAAATGCCGTTTTATTGCGATTTTTGATTTGTATAAAGTCTGTAAAGTGTTGATTTTTTGGAAAATGCATACTTTATGTATTGTACTTAGTTGTGGGAGCCGTTCTAATCGCGAGAAAGTCTGATTTCATACCGTTCCTGCAGAGACAAAACACAGGTTTTCAACGGAGGAAAATGATTTGTCTGTACTATGTGAGGGCTTCATGGATTGTAACAAAAGAGAAAAAATCTTACGAAATCCATATTAAAAAACCAAAAAGTCTCTCTACATAAATGGTGTATGGATCCCAGCCATTTACTATCCTCCACATCAGCTTGTGTCGATAACTTGAATAGCAGACAAATAAAATAAACATCAGGATTCAGGATTTGGTTAAGAAAAAACTAAACAGGAAACAAAGCCTGGATAGTACCTACCTAATTGGTTAGTAGGTAAAGGTTTGTCACAAAGAAATCATAGCTTTTGCAAACATCCGGGTTTTTCACTAATAATTTCTTAAACTAACAACGTTCCATCTTAAAATACGAAAATTATCCTTCCAAACACTAGAAAAACAACACAAAATACACAAAAAAGAGTTTTTTGATGAAAAATGTCAAGGTTGTTTGAATTAAATTTATGGCGCCAAAATTTTGGCATTGAAGCATGCATTGACCGCCATTTTGTTTGGTTTGCCCTATTAGGCATTCCAGGTCACGTGACTTTTGACAGGTCCGCTGGGGGGCAAACAAAGCCTAAATCAGTATTTACACCGTTCTTTGAGATTCTGTTTCCGAATTTTTGCGTTCTTAAATTCTCTCAATAAGTTTTAAGTTGTTTTTGTGGTAGAATGGCTAACATTGACTATTATTCATCGTTAGCTAGTGATGTGAAATGTCGGTATGACCAAAAAATACAAATAATTGCCAATATAGATCCTTATAAACTTCTACCTAATGAGTTTACTTTAAGTATCAATGAGTTGCCAGAAGTTTCAATTTTGGATTTATCCGAATATTTGACCCACACCCACAGTTACTACACAGGCTTGCAGTTGAAGGCGTATATAAAGGGTTATTCAAGTTCTGCTGGACTACCTAAAAGGTATTAAAAGTAAATATTACTTGTAGAAACAAACCAATTTTTCAATATAAATGTGTTTTTGTATTTTAACAAGACAGTCATAATACTTACCATTAACAAAATGTTTTGAACAAATACGAGCATTTTTCAGAAACGATTCAGTTAAATCTCTCCTTTTGAGGCATTTAATCCACAGATTTCGTCGTTCCTTTTTTAGCTCGTTTAGACGATTCCCTAGATCTCTTAATGCTGCTGGGATCCTGAAAAACCTTTCTTTATCTCTTTCCGCTCTACTAGAGCTCCTAACAACGCAGCAAATAGAAGGCATCTTCACAAAATAGATTGAAAATTCTTGGTTTAACATTGAATCAGGTTATGTTTGGCTTTTGTGTGCCCCCCAAACTAATATGGCGGATCGGTTATGACATTGGTTATGACATTAACCTGGAATGCCTAATGTCTTTGCTAAAAAACTGATGTAGTCATCCTCAATAACTACGGTAGTTAATCATGTAATTAATGTTACTAACTAAGTTCCCAACCCTGTCCCTTTCTGCCAGCTACAATTGAATTTTGTGATTGTGTTAAATCTCGTGAGCTTATTTCTGTATTAAAAATACAGGAAGCTGTGGTCAGCAGTAGTTGTATTCCTTTCAAGAGTTTGAAACACTCGAGCTACTCGTTCCGGTGTTTAGTAGTCCCCGATTTGCAGGGAACAGATGCGTGATGCAACAAACACTTTTCGAAAGGAATAAGGGTGTGAAGCCCCGGAGCTGTTCCGGAGCTCCTCCTAGGTGTGAAAGTAATACAACTAATGTCAGCACAAATAAAATATCACGAATAAACGGGTGAGGTGCGAAATGTGCGAGCTCAGCGAGCTCGATACACTCTCTCGACGTATTTACGAACGCGAAAAGTTGTGCTCGGAACGCTCGAAAGAGAATAAACGTTGATTTAAACGAAAGGCATTCAACAATTTCGAGCGTACGGTGCGCACGAAGCGCAGCTGTTGTATGGTCGAGATGCTTGCATCAAGCTTCACAAAACTCGTTCGGTTTTCGTTTCAAGCCCGGTTTGCTCGATGATCAGTGGACCTCTGTTCAAGGTAGTTCAAGCTCCACACGCTCCGCACGTCGAGTTAATAAACGAGCGCACCTTGAGAAACCGGTCATAAGGAAAGACAAATTAATTGCTGCTTACGATGACCATTTTCTGACCTAAGTTTTTTTTTTTTTTACGGATATGCGCACTCGCAAGGAAATGTCCTATCACACTCGAGAAGCGGCAAGTGCGCGGAAATGTCGGTGTATGTTGGTCTTGAAACGGTTCAGGTTGTAACCTGCAGGGAAAACCGTCGCAGGGAGTTTATTCCACAGCGATGCTGTTCTCCAGAGATATGAATTCTGATATAATGAGGTTCTTGGTGCCTCTAGTTTGACAGTAAATTCATGGTTACCGTCTGTTTGACGGGTTCGCCTAGTAGGTGCTACTCTCGGTGGAATCATACGTGCCAACTCTTCAGAGCATTTTCCGTGATAGTACCTGTAGAAGAGAGATAAATCGCCCACAGATCTGCGATGTTCGAGACCATCCAAGTTACGAGTAAGTGCGGGGTCATTGATCAGCTTGATAGCTCGTTTTTGCATGGTATTCAAAAGCATTAAGGTATGTTTGGGCGCTGCACTCCATATATGTGAGCAGTACTCCATAGTTGGTCGAATCTGGGCTTTGTAGAGTGTCAGCAATTGGCTTGGTGTGTACAGATTTCTTGTACGAAATAGCACCCCCAGCTTTTGGGAGGCCCTTTTAGCAATATCTGCCACGTGATTGTGCCAAGACATGTTGGTCTCTGCAGTAACCCCCAAGATGTTCAACTGACTCTGTAATGTGACAGCACTTCCAGATAGCATGATGTTTGGCTCACCGGTGCTGGTCTTTTTTGAAAACAGAGCTGCTTGGGTTTTCTGCGCGTTGAACTGCACAAGGTTTTTGTTACCCCAGTCCTCTATTATCTCCAGGTCGTTATTTATCTGCGATATTTGAGTTAGTCTAAGATGATGGAATTCACGTGCGGAAAGACCTGTGGGTGGTATGAGTGAGGAGACTACATTGCCATCGTCTGCAAAGCAATAAAGTGGATTTACTGTTTTATCTATGAGGTCATTTATGTAAATCAGGAAAAGAGTTGGCGAAAGGATTGCTCCCTGTGGCACACCAGCATTTATTTGGTAAGAGTTGGAGTTCTGGCCATCCAGTGCAACATAAATGGATCTGTCCTTTAGGTAACTTTCAAACCAAGTGCAAAGTTTCGGCGATAATCCCATTGCTTTGAGCTTGTTGAGCAGATTTTCATGCCAAACTTTGTCGAATGCTTTAGATATATCTAAGGCAATTGTTCTTGTTTCACCCCGCAACTCAATCGCTTTTTGCCATAAGTGAGTGACGTATGTAAGTAAATCGCCAGTTGACCTATATTTTCGAAATCCGTATTGCTTATCGTTAATAATTTTGTACTTTTCCAAGTACTTGGTTAGGTGATTGTTCACAACTCTTTCCATTACTTTTGATATCACCGGAAGTAGAGCAATTGGTCTATAGTTTAACGGATCTGTCTTTTTTCCTTTCTTTGGAATGGGTTGTACTGCGGCAGACTTCCATGATGATGGACCTAAGTTAGCGTTTTCGATTTCTATTTATTGTCAGTGTGCACTGAGTGCATTCGCATCTTTTTCTAAAAGCATGTGAAATATAAGGATAAAATTAAAAATAAATTTTTTCGCACTGATTCTGCAAATAGAAATCGCTACAGCCCAGCAATCTGTCATTTCCGTCAATTTTCAATTTGCTTGACTTTTTTCGAATCTGTCACCTGTCACACTCACAGACCGGACCGGTCACAATTACAATTCCTCTTCAAGTCATTTGGTCTGTGTTCGTCTTCAAATAGCAATAGCGTAGATAGTAGCAACAAAAAGTGTACAAAAACTCGTTATTGAGTTTTGTTCCAGAAATTCTCTAGAGAAACTGTGTCTCAGAGATAGGTCTATGAATAATTGTCCCAAATACACCCGCTGGCAATACTAATTTTTTAAGGTGAGTCCTTTTTTTTTCATCTTTTTAGTAGCTCAATTAAATTTTCCAAGCTGAACTTCATGTTTTTTATTTTTCAATGGTGTTCTACTACTAAGTTCTGAGTAATATTTAATAACAGGTTATTTAAACGAAAGCATTAAAATTTGGTTTATTTTTTCTTTTATCCGAGGAACGTTTCATTCAGGCCCACCGAGTAGCCCATAATTTAGAACTCAGCCTTGTTACCCACTTTTTATAAATATATCTTCTTGTGCTCTGGCAAAACCTGGTGTGAATGGTCCAGTATGCAAACACCGTTCCAGTAGTTGATTCAATAGTTTTATTCCTTTCAAGAATCAAATCAAATCGGGGCTTGAGCACTTCAGGTGCAACAAACACTTTTCGGAAGGAATAAGCACGTAACGGCCCGGGGCCGTTCCGGAGCTCCTCCTAGGTGTGAGAGGAATACAACTTGTAGAATGATCCGATAAGCAAAGCATCAAATATTTTTAATACTCTTCCGCAAACGATGAAAAAACCAAGTAGGTAACTTTAAAATCATTCAAGAAAAAAATCAATATCCATTAGGTACAGCTAATCTCTGTTGCCTTTTAATTACTATGTATACAGTGTGTTTCACTTAGGGACTGACCACCCTTCTAAAATTTTTATTTTTTAACCGATTCAATTCATTTTTTTTTTGTCTTATGGCTGGTTTATACAACATTTGCATAGTCGTAATCATAGTCTTAGTCTTGTCTTAATCATAATCACAATTTTAGAAGGCGTTTATACAATGTCATAAGCATAAAATAAAGGCCATCAACTCTAACCCGACTTTTTGTAGGGAGAATTTGTTTACTTTTTGCGAATCGAACTCGTCTATTTACTTTACTTACGTTTTCAAAGTTTCAAAAAGTGTGGAAATTAAAATTCTGCGAAAGAAAACCATACAAGTGATAGGTCTGTCCTATTTATTTTTGAGTTTTGCTAATAAACAACTTCAACAAACCCAAACCATAAACAAAGAAGGTGGAAAGTGAGTCCAATCAATAAAAAAAGACAGAAGGAACGGCATTTTGCCACATTATTCAAAGACATGTAGAAGCTTGATAGAGACCTTTTTTTTTAAATACTCTAGAAAGACTCAAGATCAATTTAAATACAAACAGAACTAAAATAGCAGATTTGAATTGTTTTTCTCTGTAACAGCTGATAATGGCGCTTGCGCAGTTTGGATCTCGTCTTAGTCACAATCATAAAAGTTAAAAGTTGCCAACTTTGAGTTATGCTTATGATTATGATTTGTGTATAAACGGTTCCATAAGAAAATATTATTTTAACTCTTATGACTAAGACTATGATTATGATTACGAATATGCAAATGTTGTATAAACCAGCCATTATATCTCTTCGAAATTGGAACTTGCTAGGCTTATAATTTTATTTCTGCGGCTGTACAGACAGAGTGTCCACATTTATAGGCTCAAATTTCAATAAGTACTATTAGGGATTTTTTTAGAAAAAATCTGATAGCAGATGATTGTTTAGAATGGTCTAAAACCCAAATGTACCATAACGGCCGCCAGTGTGTCAAGAATCCTAGGCTGTCGAATACCCTAGAAATTACAGATTCTTATAATCTAGTAAATTCTACTTAATCGGGAAAAGGAGAGTTATCGCGAGTATACAAGATTGTACATGAATGGATTTACGGCCAAGGTTGTCCCACAAAAATTTTCAAATGTGCATTTAGCCAATGAAAAATTGTGCATAATCGTTTGAAATTGTGCACATGCTTAAAAAAGTCGTAAATGACGCAAATATTAAAATCAGTCTCTTTAGCCCTTTTCATTCAGCATCGGTTTAACAATTCCAAAATATACCTGAAATTTATTGCAGTTACTAGAGGGTACATCAACCTATTATAAATATTGGCAGGCCATTTAATTTCCTAATTTAAAATAACATTTTCCTTTATTTGTTCGATTTCAAGTAGCATTTTTGATGACGTCATCATTTGACATACCCCTACCGTTTTGTAACCCGATTAGTTTAAACCGGAGCCACGTGAAAAAGACTCTTGGGTTTCAGAGAAAGCAGGGGTAGAATCAAGGTTATTTGAGAGAAGCAGGTTGTCTGATAACTTTATGACGTCATTTTGGATGCCTCATCATAATGCAAATCTCCATGAGGCACCCCAGATGCGTCATCAAGTTACCGATTACCAGGCAACCTATTAACTTTGGGAACCTTGAGGTAGAACATCCTACAAGTTTTCAAAAAATTGACCCTTATAGATGGCGACGAAATAAAATAAAAATTACAGTAGGCGAGTTCGGTTAATCCTCCGTGAGCTAAAAGATGACATTGTTGATAAAAGCTCACGTGATCTTTCATTTGAAGTTACAAAACTGATCACATGTGGTTGTCATCTATTCGCTCGAGGAGGATAAACCTAACTCTACTAGCGACTCGCGATAAACCTTTTCACTAACAGCCGCCATTATGTGGTTTGTTCGCACAGAAATCGCAAAACAGTCAGAGTGAATTTCATTGGTTGAAACTAGTTTTCTGACTGTTTTCAACCAATGTAATTCGCTCTGAGTGGTTTGTGATTTCTGTGCGAACAGACTTATGAGTTGGTTTGGCTGGATTGTAAAAATTGTGCATATTTTATGAAGATTGTGCATATGGTGCATATTGAGATCAGATTGTGCATAATATGCACAATTGTGCACCTTGGAACATCCCTGTTTACGGCTATACCGGGTGGGCCAGCGAAAACGAAACAAGGTCGTTATCTCGTATTGATCGTTTAATGAAAAAAATCGCTCGGACCCGTAGATTTTTATTCGGAGGGGGCAATCTTTTGCACATATTTTCAATGTTGTCACTTCAACCCTCTCGCGGGGGTAAGCGCCAACCCCTAAATCTTAAATGGCAGTAGGGGTCGAGCGATACCTCATTTCAAAGGTCATCGAATTCTGTTTTCAACGGTGCCTATTTGTTTGAATTTGATGCAGTGGTTTTCAAGAAAACGCAGTTGAAAATAGACGGAACTAGTACTGTTTTAGTCATTTTGAGCACTTTCAATTTTGTAGTTATAACAATTTTTACTTAAGAAGTGATTTTATGTGTTTTTTTTTAAAGTCCTGTGCTATCACCACCATTTTGCTGATTAACTTGTTGGAATCATTTAACCTTCAAATGCACGTCAAAACCCCAACAAGAATATCGCAGACTACATCCACTATAATTGACTATGTGTGTTCTAATTTTGACTGCAATATTAAATGTAAAGTAGAGGATCCAGCTATATCTGACCATCAGGCAGTTGTTGCCACACTGTCCCTACAGATAAAGTCAAATAGACCACCCAAACGCCTTGGTAGAGTCTTTAGCAAAAATAATTTTAATCGTTTTCGACAAATTTGTAACAGCACTTCCTGGAAACCAGTGCTCTCCGTCGAAGACCCACTTCAGACATTACATTCCAACATAAGTAAAATTATAAATAATTGTTTTCCATTGCGACCTCTACGAAAAAAAAGACAACAAAAAAACTGGGTGACCCAAGGCATCAAAATATCAGCTGCAAATTTAAGATTTCTCAATATGTTACGTAAACACTTTAATAACAGTTTATTCATAAACAACTGCTTTTTAACCTATCGTCAAAATTATAGAAAAATAATTCGTGAAGCAAAATCCTTATTTTACTCGAATCGTTTAAATAACTCGCCAAATAAACCGAAAGAGACATGGCGCATAGTTCGTGAACTAGCTGTGGAAAACACTTCCAAACCTAACCAAATTGATATCGAACCTGAAGTTTTAAATAATTTCTACTGCTCCATTGCATCTAATTTAACACAAACTATAAAAACAGACATCAATCCCCTGCGATATCTAAATAGTGTGCGTGTTCCTGAAACATTTGAACTTATACCAACAAATATCAATGAACTTAAAACTGTGATTCGATCAATTAAAAACCAAAACGCGGCAGGATCTGATGGTATATCTTCAAAAATACTAAAAGAATTGCCAGATCAAGCCTTAAAAGTCATAGCTAGTGCAATAAATAAATCTTTTTCGGAGGGTACTTTTCCATCTAGCCTTAAGGAAGCTCTAGTTGTTCCGATACACAAAGAAGGTGATACTAAAAATCCATCAAATTATCGGCCAATATCATTACTATCAACAATCTCTAAAGTTATCGAGAAACTGGTCAAAAAACGTATGATGGACTTCTTGACAGAGCACAATATTTTTAACACTGCACAATTTGGCTTTTTACCAAAGAAAAACACGCATGATGCTATGCTTCGAATAATTCAGCAACTTTTCAAACACTATAATGATGGGGAAGCTACTCCAGCAGTGTTCTGTGACTTCTCAAAGGCATTTGACTGTGTTAGTCACGGGATACTGCTGCAGAAGTTAGAGGTGTATGGTTTTGCGGGAAATGTCTTGAGATGGTTTCGCTCGTTTCTAACTAACAGAACACAAAGTGTCTCAGCCAACAGCAAGAGTTCCTCTAAACCATCTATTGACTTTGGTGTACCACAAGGCTCAGTTTTAGGTCCAATTTTGTTCCTTATTTATATCAATAATCTTTTGCACCTTGATATATCCGGAGTTATTGCTGCTTTTGCCGACGATGCCACAATTACCTGGCACAAAAAAGACACAGATGATCTAATCGAGATTATATCTAGAGACGTTGGATTAATTAAACAGTGGTGTGATGCGAACGGTCTACTATTCAACTTTAACAAAACTCAGGTACTTGGATTCCGGTGTAACATAGATGATATAGCATTTGACCACTTTTCCATCAAGAGTACTTTATCTACCAAATGTCTTGGCCTACACATAGATGCTGACCTAAAGTTTCAAAATCACATAATCTCTCTCAACAAAAAATTAGCATCTGGGTGTTATTGCATCAGGACAGTTGCTGAAAACCTAGGTACACCTGTAGCAAGAACAACATACTATGCTGTAATCCATTC